GCTCAGCAGCAGTAGCATAAATATTAGGACTGTTAAGAAAGTTGATGATAAAGTTGAATAAAAATCTCAGTCTGATTCTGAAGGTAAATTAAATATCTGACTGATCATTACACAGTTTGGCTCTAATTCTTCACTTCACCATCTGTGTCGCAGTTTCACGTCTCCAAAATGAGTGTACGCATGGGTCAGAACTGGCGTGAGGCACCGCACATTTTCACGTCAAGTTTGGATTTTATAAATCACAACCGTGGCGTAAAAAGTGGCGTACGCAAGTTTCTGGGCTCAAATTGTGCGTATGCAAGTTTTATAAATCCGACCCCAGGAGTCCCTGGACGCCCTCATACCCTAGTCGTATGATCTGTTCAAATCACTCTAGTGGGAAAAATTGCTCTCTGTAAAAATCTGTTCCAAATTGTGTCAAAAGTCATATTTGAAGTACATAGGAGCACCYAGCAGACTGACCGGGAAAATCTCCAGTCAGTCTGCCTGGTGGCATTAATCGTATTAATTGTCAAGTGCCAAAAAATAGATTGTTTTTCTGACGATTAATCGCACACGATACGATTATGCCCAAACCTACCCCATGGTCGCAAGTGCGTTTCTGAAAAAAAAAAAAGCAGTGTCTCAAAACTTCACTTAACTTAATATTAATATTGTAGTGCTATACAACAAAATTAATAGCCAGTTTATTTTAATTTAACCAATTTGTCGTTAGTCTACATTTGTTATGAAACTTGGTCTGAGCACAGTTAAAGATCCGGACACAAAAGCAGGTTTACATAATTTATTAAAATTGCTGGTGTGAAGATGGAACCAAACAGGATCTCTCGTCAGGTAATCTGAACACAGAAACAACACGTTAGCGAGGGAAACAAACTGCGTCAAAGGTGCGGGGTTACGTGAATTCACCAACCTGGTGTTGGCAGGAAGTCTCTGTGGGGGAACCCCATCAGAGTTAGTTTGGTTCCGGGTTGCTTTGCTTACATCACCGATAAACTCAGTGGGACTTAATGTTCCATTAAGCAGAATCAGAGTGGTGAAACAAGCCAGGGTCATGCACAGAATAAAGAGGTTTTACCAGGTTGGAGGGTTTAGGCGGTTGTCGGGTTGGCGGTCGCCCGCTGAAAAAATGTTTCCATGTTCCATAAAAAATAATCCAGCAGTATCAATGGTCGCCCGCTGACAGTCTAATCTCTCCTAATAACACTGCACTCTGCTCGCGGCTCCGCTCCACACCTCCCGCGCTCACACATGCGTCGTTCTATCCTCATGGGGACRTTGCATTGACTTCCATTCATTTCCCCGTCAATTCTATAGACAACCATAGCCTCCTAGGTAAACTACACACCTGACCCAAACCCTAACCTCACCTGGCTGTGTGTACCGGGGAAATGGTCAATAATTATACCCACCATGAAGCAAACATCTGAACACACACGCGCGTGCGCGCACGCATAGCCAAACAACCGTGGGTTTTTTTTTGTTTTTGTTTTGTTTTTTTTTTTGTTTGTTTTTTTGTTTAACCCAGATCGGAGTCTGAAAAACAGTTCTTGTTAGCTGGAGAAGAAAACAAGATGTGGACAGTTGCTCGCTCGTCCATCTTGTTAATTTAACAGTTGGGGTCTGAGCGTTGCAGATCATTTCAGCAGGACAAGGAAGCTCACATATATGACAGACCAGTTTTGCACTTAATCGACTTCACCACTGTTACATTCCAAGTATCTGAAATAAGTTCTTCTGGGTCTCAGGAGGATAAAACTAGACGTATTAGATATTTAAGTGAAATAATATAAGATAATAAGATTCAACTAATGATGAAATTGCAGACTTTTATGTGTTATTTAAAAAAATGTGCACAACTTTTTAATA